GGGGTCACTAATGACCACCAGAAAACATAGTATTTTCTGTTGGTCATGGGGGCTCTATGTGGGAAGTTTGGCCCAATTCTGTCGTTGGTGGGGTTCAGAATGCTCTTTGATTGTAGGTGAACTACAAATCCCAGCAACTACAACTCCCAAAATGTCAAGGACTATTTTCCCCAAACTCCACCAGTGTTCACATTTGGACATATTGAGTATTTGTGCCAAGTTTGGTCCAGATATATCATTGTTTGAGTCCACAGTGCTCTCTGGATATAGGTGAACTACAACTCCAGAACTCAAGGTCAATGCCCACCAAACCCTTCCAGTATTTTCTGTTGGTCATGGGAGTTCTGTGTGCCAAGTTTGGTTCAATTCCATTGCTGGTGGAGTTCAGAATGCCCTTTGATTATAAGTGAACTATAAATCTCAGCAACTACAACTCCCAAATCCTTCTAGCTTTCACATTTGGGCATATTGGGTATTTGTGCTCAATTTAGTCCAGTAAATGAAAATACATCCTGGTCTAGATCCATCATTGAGTCCACAGTGCTCTCTGGATGTAGGTGAACTGCAACTCCCAAACACAATGCCCACCAAACCCTTCTAGTGTTTTCTGTTGGTCAGGGGGGTTCTGTGTGGGAAGTTTGGCCCAATTCTATTGTTGGTGGGGTTCATAATGCTCTTTGATTGTAGGTGAACTATAAATCCCAGCAACTACAACTCCCAAATGTCAAGGTCTATTTTCCCCAAACTCCACCAGAGTTCACATTTGGGCATATTGAGTATTCGTGCCAAGTTTGGTCCAGATCCATCATTGTTTGAGTCCACGCTGCTCTCTGAATGTAGGTGAACTACAACTCTAAAACTCAAGGTCAATGCCCACCAAACTCTTCTAGTATTTTCTAGTATTGGTCATGGGAAATCTGTATGCTAAAATTGTTTCCATTACGTCATTGGTGGAGTTCAGAGTGTTCATTGATTGTAGGTGGCCTATAAATCCCAAATGACAAAAACCAACTACAACTCCCAAATGCCAAATTTGGTCCAGTGGATGAAAATACATCCTGCATATCAGATATCTACATTCCGACTTGTAACAGTAGCGAAGTGACAGTTATGAAGTAGCAACCGAAATAATGTTATGATTGGGGGATCACCACAACATGAGGAACGGTACTAGGGGGTCTAGGCCAGTGGTTCTCAACCTTCCTAATGGCGTGACCCCTTAATACAGTCCCCCATGTGGTGGTGACCCCCAACCATAACATTGTTTTCGTTGCTACTTCATAACAGTCATTTTACTACTGTTATAAATCATAATGTAAACATCTGATATGCAGGATGCATTTCCATTCACTGGACCAAACTAGGCACAAATACCCAATATACCCAAATGTGAATGCTAGTGGAGTTGGAGGAGGACTGATTTAGTCATTTGGGAGTTGTAGTTGCTGGGATTTATAGTTCACCTACAATCAAACAGCATCCTGAACTCCACCAACGATGGATTTGAACCAAACCTGGCTCCCATGACCAATGGAAAACACTGGAAGGGTTTGATGGGCATTGACCT